ATTATGCTGTTATGTATCAACAAAGCTCTTTTGGGTAAGAGTGCTAGATAAAGAACCCTATGGGTAGAGGCACCTTCAGGACCACAAGAGCGCATAGGCGCTACACCACTGGGCTGAGGTGTGAACATTTTGGGAAATAGTACCTCTAGATTTCCAGAAATAAAACTCTTATATAACCCATAAAACAGCAAACGGCCACATACTATTTAAAATTAAAACATATATATATAAATATATATATATATATAAACATATATATATATATATTAAAACATATATATATAAATATTATATATAAAACATANNAGATGTGTATAAGAGACAGATATATATATATATATGTGTGTGTGTGTGTGTGTGGGGGTGTGTGTGTGTGTGTGTATATATATGTTAATACTCAATAAGGCCCTTTCATTCAGGCCTAGGCCTATTCCTTGCATAGTTGGTTCCTTGCAAGAGTCGGATCACTGACATGCAATGCCAGAGCATTAAATTTATACGCTTTGTGACTAGTCACATTCATGCACGGCGGCCGGATCCTAATGCAACCAATTATCCCAGAATGCATTGGTCTGCAGTTGCCAAGCAGTGATAGACATTGCAGTGCCCGGTTTTCGAGAGTTTGATAATAACTGTGTCTTGAATTCTAGTTTCACGGACAAGAGAAAGGTCGATATAGTGGGCAGATGGTTAAATAGTAAACTTAACGAATGTGTCTCAGTCAAAATGACCGATATATTATGTAAATGGCTCAATGATGAGCTGAAACTGTCGCATAAAGTAGGTGAGTGAATGGTGCTGTTTTGCCCAGCAGTGCAGAAGCGGCGGAGGTGGTCTGCTGTCGCCTCTCTGCTGTCGCCTCTGGGCGGCGGAGACTGCTCGGGCTTGGCCTAGCTCAGGCATAATAATAGGTCTACTAAGCCTAGCCTAGGCCTAGGCCTAAGTAAACGCATGTAGTACGTAGTAACACCTCCTTTTTTAATTAATGATACAGGTACTATAGTCATTTAGCTCTTTAATACAGCTACGCTCCACATTACTTCATTTCTATAGGCCTCTAGCTAGGCCTAGCCTAGGCCCCTAGTTACTAGAGTCTAGGCCCTAGTAGGCCTAGCCTAGGCTAGTACTCTATATATCTAGGCCTAGGCAGTGGCGGCGCCAGCGGGGTGGCAGGGGAGGGGCCCACCGGACAGGTCAAGCTCCCCCCCCCCCGCCGGACAGAGCTCGTCAGACCATAAAACATATAAAAATAGGCGCACACCAAGCCAACACATGTCTGTCACAATCTGAGAGTGCCATTTTCGGCCATCTAGGCCTAGGCCTAGAGGTTGATATTCTTTTAAAAAATCTCATTTGGGGGGGGGGAACCCCTTCTCCCAGCTCGAGCCTACGAACTCAAGTCCCCCTGTCGGACAACTTAGCCCCCAGAAAATATATCCTAGAGCCGCCACTGAGCCTAGGCCTAGGTACCCTAGCTAGGCTAGGCCTAGGCCCTAGGTAGGCCTAGGGCTAGCATAGGAGGAGTCCGAATTTGCTTCCACAGCCTTATGTTATGCAAATTTATTTGCTTGTTCATTATTTTTTTTATGTTGACTTGTTTGTAATATTAATTATTTTTTTAAATCTAAAACAGATAAGAATAATTTCAGCAAGCACTTTGCAACTGGATACTTGATTGGAGAAGTGCTTCAGTGCTATCAATTACAGAATGATTTCAATCTGTTCTCCCAAAGCCAGTAAGTCTATCTATGGACCTATTATTTAATAGGTCCATGGTCTATCTAACACAACATAAATTGTTTTTGTATTATGATCTATGCCAAGCTTAGACAGCTCCAATTATACATTAAGAAGAATAAGTTGTATTACATTTTCTTATTTGATTTATAGTAGCATCTATTAATGGTTTTGTATAATACAGGTATAAAATTAAATGCAACTAATTTATTTTGCTATTTAAATTCTTAAATTTTTTTAGTAAAATGGCTATTAGCCAAAGTTTAATATTTAAATTTGGAAAATTGATATGGGTTTAAAAAACTGAAAGGCAAAAAGGTAAGATTGAAAAGACAAGTCTCCACAAAATGTAAAGGTAAACTATTGTATCAAAAAAGACAGAAGAGTTGTTTGGTGGGACATGTATTTGACTGACATGGTGGATAAAATCACCAAATTATTCTGAATCAATGTTTAGTGCAGTTGAGTATACACCATTTTCGCTAAATTTGAAATGAACATTTCAGAGAACCTGGCAACTACCACTGGGGACATCCAGAGGCCTAGTCATTTTGCTCTACATATTTACCAGTGTTTACTGTGCTCTGTGACTTGTGCACGACCTTGTTGTTTTGGAGGTATAGGCTAGTCTTTGAAAAAGAAAAAAAAAAAGAAAGAAAATAGGGGCGCATAGAACCTGCCTTGTTTTTCGTTGTCAAAGTACTCAAAAGGATGTGTCTGGAAAAATGAAATTTGCTCCGGCTACTAGGCTGCTAAACGTCCCCCAGTGAAAAGTTGCGAGACATGGTGGTGCTGTTTCAAAATAGACCTGATAAAATGGTGTATATTTAAAACTTATTTTCATATGTTTAGAACTGCTGACTCTAAGCTCAACAATTTTACACGGCTGGAGCCAACGCTTAAGTTGCTGGGGATTCCATTTGACACCAACATCGCACGCTCAATTATGACGGAGCAACATGGATGGGCCACTCGTATCCTTTACCAGCTTTTTATTGCCCTCAACAAGAAGGAGGCGGCCAAGTTGACTGGTGTTGCTATGGAAACCATGAGGCCAAGTGCCCCTGTCAAGCTTGAAGCAATGGAAAGGGGCCCTTATAAGGAGGTGATCATTTTTATTTACATTTATAAATAATATTTAATATATATTTCAAGCTTTAGAATGATCAGAATTCAATGTATTGTATGTGTGTAGATAATAACAACAATATTTATTATCATTATTCTTATTAGTAATGATGATAACAATATGTAAATTGTAATGGGGAAGATAATGATGATGGCTGTTAGATGCCCAGAGTCATCGTCATGTTATGATTACAATAAAATCTTACGAATTAACATTGGATATGTACTATTATTACCAGCCATATTGTTCTGTTCTTTGATGAACCTACTGAAAATCTTAGTGCCGATGTTCTTTTTTGTTTCTTTATTGCACATACATTACAAACTTTAGTCATTGTTTAATATTATTTCAGAAATTGTGGATAATTAAATTTTAGAAATCTAATTGTTTAAACTTTGTTTCCTTGACATTAAAGCGCTTGAAAATGATGACACCAAGACAGATAGATCTAGATTTGGACCAGCTGGTAGATCGTTTCCGAGAGCGCAAGAAACAGCACCTTGATGTAGAGTTCCGCACAAAGTTTGAGCAGGAAGAGAACCTACGGCAGTGGCAACAACAGCAGCGAATGCAGGAATTGCAAAAAGCGTCGGATGCAAGGCAGAAGCAGACGGAATTGGTTGCCAGGATACGGTAAGACTTTATCTGTGGTTTCTCTTTGTCTTTCACACAAGTTTTGTAGTATTGTGACAACCAATGTTTTGAAGGATTTACCTCTGCATCGCTTATGCTTCTAAATTGATATTTTGGTATGTTTACTGCCTGTATGCAACTATAGCATATGAATCATCCAAGTAGGGTTACAAATTAATGTTATTTTTCAGAGCTGCAAAGGTTGAGATACCAAAGGTACCACCAAATAAGACGTTGAAGGCCATCGCATTACGCAAGGAGATGAAACGTTCACAAGAAGCCACTGAAACCATGCAGGAAATATCTGCGTTTGAACATCGTTTATCCAACATGCTTCCAACCACTGAACAAGAAGATGACAGGTGAGAACAATGTAATCCACATGTCTACTTTGGTTTACACATTTATCTTGTTTATCTACTACCTTTTTTATCTAATTAATTTTTCATGTTCAACGGTGAGTATACTTTCTGGATCCGATCGAAAGTCTCTTACCTAATGTGACATTGTGATATGCCTAAGGCTTGTGATGACATCATGCCCTTATATAGGTAATAGGTAAATAACATGTATTTGTAACACAAAATGTGATTATGTTGACAGAGCAAAACAACACAATAATTTAACTTACATTTTTTAGAGACAATGATGAAGAAGTTGAAATGTATTTGAAAAGAACAGCTGAGATGCAAGTTGAGGATAAGATGGAAACTGTAAAGGTAGAAACTAAATTTATAATGGTTAATATAATAAAAAATAATTTTATGTAGTAATATCTAATTTTTAGTTTAATAAAAGATGGAGGATATTGAATGTTTAAGTAATTCATATGTAATCTATCTTTGTTGTGATTATGAAGCATATTAAATTAATATTATTGTAGAAAATATAATTGTTTAAGTTTTGAGAAGAATTATTAGTTTTAATAGTGTTTATCAATTGATTGTGATTATTAATATTTTAAATGTTATTATGTATTAGTATTTAATGTTATGAATTTGTATATCAAGGGTCAGGCTTCATCTAATGAGGAATACATCAACAAGATTCGCAAACGTCTCCAAGAAGACTCAGTGGCCAGGAAAGAACGAGAGAAGCGACGCCGTAAAGTTCTTGTTGACCAACTCAAAGCCCATGAAGCTCAGGAAGTAAGGCATTTGCCATCGCATTTCTATACTTGGCGTATGTATTATACTCTATTATCTGAGACTAATCAGTGGACCTTTCTGAGAATATATTTATATTTCATAACTGTGAGGGAATCATTTTTGTATTCACCAAATTTGTTTTAGGTCGCTCGCCGTGAAGAGATGCTTGTGAATCGTCTTATGCGTCAGTCGCAACAGGAAAAGCGTATTGCAGTGCAGCTGATGCAGCTACGCCATGAGAAATCCATCATCTGTCAAAACAGAATACTCCGTGAGAAACAGTATGAAGAGCGGAGGATGAAAGATTTTGAAGACGCTCTTAACAAAGAGGCTGTGAGTATTATTATCAGATGCTCAATTGCTATGATTACCACTTTATTTTTTTATTTTATTTGTTCTTTATACTGGGTTTCCTCTTCAGTAACATATTACTATAAGGGCCCAGTACACATAAAATATTAAAAGTTCAAATTATTTACAAATCATTCAAAAAAGTCAGTCATAATTAAAATATTAAAAAAAATTCTGTCAGTCAGATTTCAGTTTTTTCTTTCTTTGTTATTATTGTACGGCCTTATTGTACAGCAAATTAATCCATCATTATTCTTTTGATGTTTTTAGATTATGTAATTATTCTTTGAGTATTACATACATTTATAGGTAATCCTCAACAAAAATAATGATGGTATATGCTGTTAAAAATTACAATTACAATATGAAAAGATAAAATGTAATGAGATTGTGTTAAGTTAGTGTTTAAGTTAATGCTTAAGTTGGAAATCTCATTCTACTCATATTACTATTATTAAACGATACGGTTCCCACAAGTTGTTTTTTTTCTGAAATTTTAACTTTGGCATTCACTGAGATAAAACCAGTGATCTTAAGAATACAAGCCAAGCATCCTGTTCCTAGCAACTTGAACCACTCCCGATAATTTCATTATACAGTTGAACTTGCGTAAGTCAAATCCAAAATGGCATTAAAAAATTGTTTGACTTCAATCAAATTTGACTTACAGATTGTTTAGTAATGGAAAACACAACAATTTGGCATGTAAAATAAGATAAACTTAGAATCTATTTAAGTTAGCAAATTTGACTTCGGCAAGTTTTACTGTAATCAATTTTAATTATAACATATTCCAGGAACTGGCCCGCTTAGCCAAGCTTGAGTACATAGACATGACAAAGAAGGATCAAGAGCTACATGAGAAAATTATGAAGGAGAGAGCAGAAGCCAAGTACAGTAAACGCTACAACATCTGTATGCAAATCCTGCTGAGTATTGTGGACTTCTCCAGCAACATTGCCGAATACAGGGAGCTCACTGAAAAGTATGTAGTCAAATGTTTGTACTTATGTTTACATAAAAACATTGAAATTCGCTTTTGCTCTCGTAGGCTAATCGTTTATGTTTTAATTTGTTTAATACGTTGTGGAGCTTACTTTTACACTCAATTTTAATATCAACCTACTCTGCCACCTAATATTTTTTTTTATCATTAAGTTGTGAAAAATTGCTCATCGTTTATAAGATAAATTATTTGAACTGTATGAAGGAACCATATAAAAGTGTATTTGCAGTCTCCTTTAGTTTAGGTTTATAGTATTTTCTTTATTTACTCATACATTGTTTTCATGCACCTTAAGGCTGTTTCAATGTGTGGTACTATTTAAATATTGAATTATTTTTATTATTATTTTGATCCTGCCATTTCAGATTACTGCCATCTAAACTCATGAGAGAATGGAAGACTTTGTTTATTGAGGGAAAACCAATGTACAAACCAAATATGGTAAGAATGTATTTACTGTTGTATAAGTTAAGGATAAGATTTGTACCATAATCTGACTAGTAGTTTCATTAATTGCAACTGCACATTCACAGATGCTAGGCCAGACCTATGACAGAAAACAAATTGTTGCGCTTGTGACCATACTACTTGTGGTTGAAATTGAAATTATTACATAGTGTTTTTCAATTTACCAGTGTCTACCACTACACTTGTGGAGGATGGTAATATAGATTAAAATAGATACCACATTTGTTGCCATTATCATATTCTGTTTTCATCCCATCCAGCAGATGTAGGTAATGTCAGCAAATATTATACACTGAATGTTTACTATTGTGATTTACTGTAGGCCACTGAAGGTGAACAGCTTGAAGAATCATCTGAAGAGCAAAAGCTGGAAGAAGATCGACAAGAGCTGTTGAATGAGGGAGACTTCATGGAATATAAGGTGTTGTGTCCATAAATGTTCATAAAAAGATAAGAAATTAGTTGGTAGTACTTTTACTTACTAACATTATTTTTCATTTTTATAAGCTTTTGCCCAAATCAATGAGGCTTCTTCAGAGGAGTGACAGTTCAATTGTCCATCGATTGAGCCAAAATCTTGTGAAATTTAGTGCGATTGTTGTGAAATTAATATTATTGTTTGTTATAAAAGTGCTACCTACTCATTTTCTTACTATTTACTGTCTATTATGGCCACTTAATAACTTTTCATTCATAAAAACTATGTGCATGCATTGAATGGCCCATTTACATGAGCTTAACAATATGAGGCATGTCGTGGCGAAATGGTTATGTTGTCGCACAGGCCTGTATTGAGTAAATGAGCTATAAAATATGGGAGCTCAAAAAATTGCCTAAAAATCCAAATTTGTTTTTCACTATAAATCAACAGATTAATGTCTTATTAATCGTGTACCAAAGTATTAGTTCTGGAAGTGGTCAAGAAATTGTTTATTTAATGTTATTTTGATAGTTCATTCTATTAAACAACGTATGCACAAATAACTTTGAAAGGCAATTACTAAAAATCATGTTTATCTTGATTCTGAGAGTACTGTACTTTCACTTTCCAATAACTTAGGCTTGAAATGTCCAATTTCAATGAATTACCCCTCATTTTAAAGATCACATACTGAGGTATCTGAAAATACCAATAACTTGAATTTCAATTTTTGCTACAACTTAGCCTCATATGGCAAGGTTGTGCAGGACAACTCTATCTCCATGCCAGGAATTGCTAGATATTCATTTTTTTAATAATTTTTAATTACAGAATATGGTTGGTGAATGGCAACCCTCGGAGGATTCGGACATAACCCCTCCTCAACCGAATGCTGTGCTTGGACACATTCTTGCAAGACTTTTCAACATTGTTCATCCCCCAACAGTCAGTATTAAAAAACACATGATCTTTTAAAACATGTTACATATGTATCCCACAAAACTCAATATATTATGTTGGTGGAGGATTTTTCTAGATGCACCAAAAGAGTTAGACACCTTTTCTTATTCTGTACAACTAAACTGTATAGTTTCAACTAGAATAAATAGTTCATGGAATGAATTGTTTAAGGAATGAAGGTTTTGTTGTACAACGTCCCTCTAAAACATATCGTGTGTAAATGAGTTGTTTATGTTTTATTACCAGCCACCACCCGAGATGCCCGAGATGCCTTCATTCCCTGTCAAAGCCTGTTTCCTTGGGAAGAACTTTGGAGGAAAGTCAGTCATTGCAAGAAAATTAAGTGAAAGTAAGGCAACATGGTAATTGATAATCTCTCACATGATTACCAAATAACAGGTAATCCATCACATGATCATACATATAGCGGTCACGTCGTAAGATCACATGATTTTCTAATAGTAGTCACATGATGCGCTATTAATGATTATCCAATTGCAGTCACATAGTATTCAATAACTTGATCATACAATACTAATCGCATAATTTCAGCATAAATGATTCAGTTACAAACTTCCAATAGAGAGGTTGTACAAATTATATAATGCCTAAAATCATAAACTTTGAAGGCTGAGTTCTCAAATATTGTTCTTTAAACAGCTGTATGTCTAAACTCTTGTATAACAAAGTGTCAGATTTTAACGATTCTTTTACTATTTTAAAGCTCTTATTTTACTGTTTAACCCTGTATTATTAAAAATTGATTTTTGCGATGAGTGACTGGTTTGGCTTGTCTTTGCCACATATTCTTTTCTGTGATTGCCTGCCATTTTCTTACATTTATATTAAGAGCATGGACTGGAGGTTCTGAATATTGAGGAGTTGGTGATTGAGGCAGTTGATGCTTACAAAGCAGGTGAGATCAATGAAGATCCAGATCCAGCACTCCAACAAGAAGCAGAACCAAGTGCGGTAAAGTCTGTTCTGACACCCACCAACAGTGTCCAGGAAGGTAAGTCACAGTTTATATATTGTTGGCAAAACTTTAGGATCTGTAAGTTAATCTCTATTGATTATTGAAGTTTTATTATTTGTAATGCTACTTGCCTTCCATAATAGTATTTGCTCATAGCATAGTCAGTTTTAATTACCTCATTATAATGTTGAGTCCTTTTACAGGTTCCCCTTAACCAAGCCTCATGATGATTTTAACCAAAATAGTACAAGATACACAGTTTATTGGGAAGTTGCTAACTAAGCTTTCCTATCATAATGTAATAACATTTTGTCATTGATATATAGTGCTCCATGCCAGCAACATATATTGTGCTTTGTATTACCCTTACCCCAGTAATTGGATCAAAGGCCTATATCAAGAACTTGTAAATCTTTCTAGCCCTACAAAATTTTAACTCATGATTTTCATTTTATTTATTTTATCAATTTGTACAAAACAGGAAAAAGTACTTAACACAAAATGTACCCTTGTCAGTGAATGAATAAAAACAAAAAGTGTTTACTGTGTATCAAACCATTCCCTTTTAGAAGTAACAGCTGAAAACCTATTAATGAATAATTTACAAAACATTGTCAAATTGTTATCATCAGTGAACATTTTGCCACCAACGCCAAAGACAGGTTTGTCACAAGCAAGCAATGAACAGCAAGACAGTAACATCAAGGCGGAAGCAATTAAAGACGAAGGCAAAGAAAAAGGTAAATGGAAGATACATAACATGACTTTGCCATTAGGTGGTGTCAGGCTGTGTGACCACAGGATAACAATTTGATGGAGAATATTACTTCAGAAAATACAGAATGGTTTAATTTTTTTTTGTGTGAAAATATAACTTATTCTACTATACGTATCAGTTATATCTACCGAGAACGCAAATGTACACTCCCTGTTGGAACTCAAAAACAATGTATGTCAGAAAATATATTCTGGACACATGGTACCAAATCTATGCAGACCAGTAGTTACTATTTTAGAATTATCCAAATTTTTTTATCACAAGATGAAAAATTATAATGTTGGGGAATTTTGGTTATCTGCCATAATTTGCCTAAAGATAACCATCACAAATTTGTCATATGAGCAAAAATGAAGTAGAAAATAAAGTAAGTAGTAAGCAGTTAATGAAATGAAGAATGCTTGCTCATAATGTTGATATGCTTTTATGTATGTTTTTGTTTGTCTTTAGGAGATGAAGAGAAAAAGGATGAAGAAAAGAACATTGAATCTGAGAAATCTGCTGACTCATTAGATGAAAAAAGTTCCAAAATATCATTAAATAAAAAATCAAAGCTTAATGTAAGAGTACTACAGTAGATAAGCATTATATAAGATAAACCTCAGCGGCACTTAAAGATTATATAATTTATTAGCTCCAGCTTTTGTCCACACAGTGGACTTGGTAAGGAGAATGTATAAACAGGACAGCTTTTTTTTTCATTGTGAATAAGTAGTGTTATTTTTAATTTCACTATTGTTGTAATTGACTAGTGATTGAATTGCATTTTTTCAACACAGCTGACAGCTAGAGCTAAACTTGGACAGAAAGCTAACAAATTCCTACGTAAAGGATTGCCGGTGAAAGATGACCTGATTGTGGAGATCATGGTTGAGGCTATCAAGTAAGAAAATATTTGTGCTATTGTATAAATTGCCTACATATTAAGCTCAGTTAGGCTGGGGTATGTGGACAACTGGTACCTTAATGAAGTACTACTCTTCCTAACCCTAGATACTTAGAGTAGGAAGGGATTAATGTATGTCAATAAGGACCTTAGTATACCCCAACCCAAAAATGAACAGTTATTGTAATTTGTGTATTGAGAACCTTAAAAAGTTCTTTTCCTTTTTTTCTATACTGTGTAGGAGACTACCAGAGACTCAAGGCTGGATCATGGATGGTTTCCCAACAACACTTGCGCAAGCTAAGTTACTAGAGAAAGCACTCACTGGCTATGATGCTAATGCTAAGCCTGTCAAATCAAAGACAAAGCTAAGCCGCTTAGCTCCAGACCCCAACCCACCAAAGGACCCACCTCCACCTGTTAGTGGTATAGATATTGTGCTGCATTTTGATGTACCTGACGAGGTTGCCCTCAAACGAGCTGCTGGTAGAACGTGTAAGTACCATGTAAAGAGAAACTAGAATTGGTAAAGCAGTGAAGGAAAGTTTTTGATAATGGTAGAAATTTATTCAGAAGAGAAAGAGACTTAGAGAAAACAAAGTGGCTGTGAGGCGGAAGATACTAGGAGAAGGAAGACATGGAAGAGAGGAAGAGATATTGGAAGAAGGCTTTCAAAGGAGGCTAGGAAGGAATTTGGAGAAGGATGAGACTTGAATGAGGAAAAATTGAAAATTACATATTTGAAACATTGCTGAGATAATATAATTGTTTTTTAATTAATATGTTTACTTAACCTTTTAGTTGCTTCTCAAGCGGAAGAGGAATATCAACAAGAGTTCAAGCCACCCCCAGAGGGCAGTGCTACTGGTGTTGGTAAGCAGGAAAAAGTGCTACCTGTAAAAGATGCTGCTCATGACCAGGAACAAATACAACACAGGTTAGTTATTACTTTAAATCATGAAATTATTGTTATTATTATTATTTTTGTTGTTGTAGTTGTTGCTTCTGTTGTTTACTGCTGCTTTAACTGCTGACCATCAGCATCAGAAATTAACTAGTAAAAAATTGGCATCTAAAGCATTTACATAACAGTTCCTCAGCTATGTAATAATAATCATTATTGAATACACACTTATGTATCAGTGGCACTTGTGGAATTCCGTTGCATTCAAAATATAAATTACATAAGAATGTGCATTAAAATACAGAGATTGCATTAAAAACCAAATACACTAAAATAAAATAAATATGCAGCAGAACAGTAAATTGTAAAATATTAAAATACAGCAATCCCAGTAAAGGTGCACTCTTCACATATAATAATATGTAATACTAATAGGAAAACACTTTATAAAATTCAGAATTTGTATTTTACTCATTTTTATATATGTACATTCTTTGGTTTAGGTTAACTGGTTTCCAAGACAACTGGAAGAAGTTGGAGAAATGGTTCAGCAACTTTGGCTTGCTCCAAGTAGTAGATGCCAGCGTTGATAGAGATGCTGCCCTCAAAACAGTTGAAGACCTTATGTTGGACACGAAAGATAAGGTAATCTAATAATTGGTTTGTCTATTTCAAAAAATATCAGATAATAATTATAATACTGAATCTAAAATTCAAAGCTAGAACCAATACTTTGAATCTTGAAGGCAGAAAACAGTCATGGGCAGATAATTATTCTGGCTATTGTGTTATCTGCAAAAGTAAGACAATAGAATCAGTCGATCATCTCATCTTTGATTGTGAAAGTTTATCCACTATAAGAAATATATGCTTTAGCAACCTAAAAAATGATTTATGTAATATTAATGAATATTTTTTGGATATTTTGGTGAAAGGTTCACAGGAATTTAAACATCATCTACTTCTAGACAATATTTATAATATGTATAAAGATTAAGAAATTTGTATGTTTTTCATTAAACATTGTAAATCTTTTTTTATTTAAGGCCATTGCTCATAGACATAAATTAATGAAATAAATTATCCCCCCCCCATTTAATTTTTAATACTCAGTATTAACTTTGTATTTGGATTTATATTGTTTTTCTATCTTATATTGTATTTTCTGGGTCTGTTGTAAAGGAAAGTACTAATGAATCGTATTGTATCGTATCGAGTTATTTATGTAGACTTACAACATCAAGTCTATTTTAAATTGCTCATAACATTATTATCCTGTTCATTGGATTCTAACTGACAAACATACACAATGAGCAATTTTAATTTGTCTGGTTTAATTTTATTACTGATATCTTATTTAAAAACCAAGAAAGTTATTATTGAATTGATATATATTCATTGATAATATGCAGATGTTTATGTATCCTTTCCTCCACCTTAAAGATTCAAGCAGCCAAAGATGAGATGGAGAAGGCGATTGAGGATGTCACTAAGGCTGCTCTCCAACCCCTTGACCAGTCATCCACGCTACATACGACAACCAGCGGCCCCGACTCTGCTGTAGCTCAACCCTCCGAGCTGGTAATTTTTATAACTTCATATATTTTTGGAGGAAAAACACCCTGTGTGCTTACTGAGCCCTGTATTGTTGTGCTTTTTTTAATTTAATTTAAACCTTATATTTCAAGTTTTACAACCTATGGTGTTTTTACTTATAGCTTCATTGATATTTGTGTCTTAAAATAATTTTATTTGTGATTAGGTATGTTTTGCATGCAACCAATAATTTACTCTGTTACATCTACAGTCTCAATTTGACGTAGGAGGGACTAACATTTCTGATGTTTTGTTTTTCTTTGTAGACTGTTGATGGACTTTCTGATGATAAGAACTCAGTTGGCTTAGTGTCCCCTAAAGTTGGATCACGTCCAGGTAAATTACCTATTTTACTAATTTAGGCCAATTACAGTTCAGTTTGGTGTTAAATTGCTTTACGATGAATCCTTGTGAAAAAAAAAATTTAATTTGTATTACAGGGTCTGGTAAACGTCCTGGCTCAGGAAAATCTAAGAAAGGTGAATCACCCAAACGAGGGCGCTCTCCAAAAGGTAGTAGAGGAGCTTCAAGAGGTGGCAGTCCGAAGAGATCTCCGTCGTCCAGTAAAGATGGTCAGTTATGAGTGCTTAAATGTTATAATTCATTTTACCTGATTTCTTTTGATTTATGTGTTTAAATTTATTTGATTTTTAAGCAACAGTTATTCTGATTTAAATTGTTTTTTTTTTTCATTATAATTATTTTCTTTTCATTTGATTTATGCTTGGGTTGATTTCATTTTTATATGATGATTTTGTGTTATTTTATTTGTTGTTGTTTAATTTAATTTTTGTTTTTGTTCTGTTCCTAAATTCTTGGTCTGATCTATAGGAAAGAAAAGCAAAGCAGGTAGGAATATGTACTAATAAATTCCTTATTTATCAATAACTAATAATGAAAATAATAACAATTATAATGATAGGAATGACGTTTTGCCTACCTAACTTGTTATCTTACTGAATGCTCAGTACGTTTACAAATATTTGCATAAATTATCTTGCAAATAATAATAAATTATGATAATAGCATTAATGTACTATATATATTTTGGGCAACTCTAACAGTAATTAAATTTAATTACTGTAAAATATTCAAAATGCATCCAGTACATTCCATAAAATGTAATCAACAAGAAACAGCCATGTGTCTTTCTTCAAACTATTAAAACCAGTAACAGTAATATCTACAATTCCTGCTCAGTGTAAAGACATAATAGATCATGAATAACCAAAAAATAAAATTAATATACTGTACCTTATAAATGTCACTATTTTGCTTCATATAATCTTTTGATAGGTTCACCAAAGCGTGGTAAGTCAGGAAAGAAATCTCCTAAGAGACGAACACCAACCCCAGAGCCTGAACCAGAACCAGAGCCACCGGTACAAACTGGTCCACCACCACCACAACCTGGTTCAGAGGATTGGGTATGGGTTGATGAAACAATTGAACAGGTAAGTTAAGTACATTATAAACTTTGCATTTAAAACAGTTTATCCTCCCATGCCTCTGGATCTGCCACTTCTTTTTCTATTAAACAAATTTGAAAGTGAATTTGATTTGATTTGATTTATTTGATATCAACAGAACAACATCACAAAACTGAAAAAACAGAAAACAGAGAAACTAAAATGAGAAAGCAAGCAAGTCATCAATGTTAATATCTGGGATAACCCTCTAAATCCCAACACAGGATTTATTTTCAGAGAGGTCCCAAAATACACAAAACAGACGACACACACAAAAAAAAAAAGAAGAAAAACATGGTATCCAAAAAAATCAAGATGCATGAAAAAAGTATTCCAGAGAACAGAGGCAAAAACCGAGATCTTATTCAGTTAAAATTGTCATTAGTAATTTATTAATTGACTAGAGAGCGGAGACATTTAAAGTCAAACCATAGATTTCATTTTTCATGTCTTCTGTAGGAACTTGCAGGTGCTTTAGTACCGTTTTGGGAAAACACCGAGGCAACATATATAACTTCCAGTAAGCATGTATTCCGATGCGTGCGGCAAGAGCGTGAAACTATCTACCGTTATTTCTACAAAATCCGGCGAACATTTGAGGAGTACCTACGACGGCCTGACACCAAGCAGGAATTTGTAGCCAATTGGCAGAAAGAATATAATCAAATAGCCGAAGATATGCGAGATGATGCAGAGACTAAGGCAGAGTTACACCAGCGTGTTGAGGTAGATAGCATTTATTTTGTTTTAAATGGTTCCATTTGTACTAAATTAATGAATCAGAAAAATAAATGATAGAATTCATGATTTGTTACAGGATCTGCGTGAACGTTTATGGTCGATATCAGACAATCGCAAGCTGGATGCGGAACAAGAACGAGCCAGTGTAATGGAGGAGGGATGGCTTGAAGATAAGCTAGGCCTACTCACCAATCACTACTTAACACAGATGCAGGTATTGTAATAATTTAGGCCTGGGGTGGGCATTAAAATGGATCAGATGAAGTGAATTTTTGATATAAAACTGAGGGCCATATGCATTTTTTTATGAAAATTTGACGTTTCTGTAGTGCTTGTAAAAACATTCATTTCTTGATTTTATACCTTTTTTATGTTAGTTTATTTTTGTGAGCCGCAACAAAATTGCTGTTGGTTTCACATGTGGTTATGATGTAGGCTTATTTATACAGGTGTAGGTCATTACATAATAATTATTGAGGTATATGAAGATCACACTAAACATTCTTTCTCCTTAGGTCATAGACAGTACAATTGTTCTTTTGGAAGAGAATATTAAAAATCTGCCACCTGCTGCTCCATTTTTACTTGTCTATAAAATTTCTCTATGTATAAAAAAGGCTGTTTATTATTGTAGGCAGAAATAGATCGTTATCAAGAAACTCTTCACATGCTGAAAGATTACTACCAAGGTATGGAGGGCAAAACTCCTGAGGAGCCAAAGGTTACAGAGTTCATACGCATTCCATTAATTGACCTGCCGCACATGGATAGGCCAGGATCAGCAGTAGGTGAGTAAAGCAAAGTGAAATCAGGGAGGTGGTGTGCAGGTCAGAAGGCATTTTGTGGGGGTTGATGTAGGAATTGGCCCCCCAGTTCATTTGGAGAAATAATTTGAAAAATTGTATTGAACTTTATTGGAAATGAACCAACACCCTTCATACAAACAGTGAACTGCTCAGCTAACTGATCCATTAATCAGTATACATCTTTTCACCTTATAATAATTAATAGCATTTTAAATAAATTTTGTTCAACCCTAGCTGCAGAATCAGTCATTTCATCACCTCCACCAACCACACCAGGTCCAGGAAAGGCACCATTGTCAGCCAAGGGAAAGAAAAGCAAAGAACCAATAGATGAAGCTAAGGTTGAGGAGGGAGATGCTACCAGAGAGAAGCCTAAGTATGATCAGATATTTACTAAGCTTACAGGAGCTTCTTTATTAACGAAGAGAGTTTTGTGAAAGCACTCAGCTTCAATCTAATTCTAGGCCTTGGTTTCCAACTCACACATTGTTCAATAGACACCTGCACTATCTTAGTTTCCTAATGTCTACTTAGTTTATGGCATTGTGGATTTTATTAATACTTACCTAGATGGACATTAAGATTTTTTACATGACTCTGAAACAGATTCACTCAATGTAAACCACATACTAGAATGTAGACCAGCAGCAGATTTAAAGGAGGGGGGGGGGGGCAGGCTGGCCATGGCTTTTCTGCCCCCTCCCCCCTTTTGGAAAGTTAAAAAAAAAGAGAAAAAAGATGGAAAGCAAAAGAATAATTGATCACCCAAAACGCCTCAGAGTTTATTTTCTGGCATCTAGAAAAAAAAATGACGGGAATGCTACCGAACCCCATAGGGTGGTGTTGTCTCGATAAAAAAAATTCATAGTTTTGCATGCTCAGATGACTTTATGTTACATCTTAGCTGGATATATGAACAATTTTGTGATTATCAATTTATTTTTTAATACTTGATTTCTAGATTTCCAACACAACCATTGTCTTGTGTAATTTATCATATTTAACTAGCTAGCTGTTACAAAAATAAAGAAAACAAAAATTTAAATTAGATATAGAATTAATAAAAATTGGTATATTTCTAGAACACTTTACCACTTTTATCTTTAGGATACCTCTGGTACCACGTCGACCAACCTCTTCAGAAGGTTTCTTCCCTAGCCAGACTCCAGCTGGTGGGAAAGCAGATAAAGGGAGTAAAAGCAGAGCTGGCAAGAAAGAGAAAGATAAGACTTCAGCACCTACATCCCTAGAGGAGCCACAAGAGAGTCCTCTTCCTCCGACAGATCCCGATGAAAGGGTACATATTACATATTTTAATTTCATTTAGAAGACAGACTTTTATTGATATAACTTGTGGAGTCTAGCATTATACACTATGCTGTGGTAAACATATATTTATTGATTTATAACGTACTGTACTGTATTTCAAATTTAGTATATATTTATATTTCCTTGTTATTTATAAACAAATTTATGTTCATTTCCATATCATAGGAGGAACTTTAAAAAAAATGTGGAACTTTCTTCTTCAACATTTTGTAGCTGCAACACCATGTCTTCATCGTCATTGTTTTAATGCTTATCATGGTTTTCTATGTAAAAATAAAACTCTTTATTTTTATTTTCTTACAGCTTATTTTTGAAGCATTACAGTTCGGCCTTTTCAAAATCAGTGAAATGGTGAGTATTTTACTATGATTTGTGTTGAATTTGTATCCCAAATTCCTTTTTTGTACATTATATAATTTATTCCCTCAATATCAATGTTTCCACTGTAAAATTTGCCTTGTTACATTGATATGTGCATGTGCATACATTATCAATTAAATTCTACTTTTAATAAATACTAATTATTGTTTTATTTTTTTCTCGTGTCCAGTCTGCTGGCTATACCTCAGTGCTGGTGGTAAGTTAGGTTGAACTAACATACAAACAAACAGTGTGGTTTTGACAGTGCAGTAAATTACCTTCATTAATATTAACAGCTCTTGTTATAAGAATCTTATTTGTAAATATCTTTATGTTATGGTTTGATATGTTGCTTTGTTAATGGTTTTGGAAGCACCTTCTATTTGGATGCCACTGATGTGTGGTTTCAAATAATAACAATTAATATTCAAGTAATTTTTACTCATGATTGTGTGTTTGAGAGTCAAGTCATGAGTTGCTGTGGTTACTGGCTAAAACTGTGCTACTCAGATGCAAATTTGCTTTTCAATGTTATGGCTAAAATAATTATCACGATTGTGCAATGAATTAACTATTGACAAGAAAAATGGTAGCACCCCATATTTGAACAATGTGTTTTGATCATCATAAGGGCACTGAATTCATGTGTCTGTGGTAATATTGTATTTTGCTTAAAATACTTGGCCTTCTAGTCTACCATACTTTCCTTTAACCAGTGTATTAATAAATTGCTGTTTTGATCCAAAATTGAAATTGTTTTTGCTTTCATTTTGAAGTTGAGTTAGCAACACTTTTACAATTTGTTTGTTGCAGATAAACCTCATAAATTTTTCATAAGAATTCTTGCAAGAAACAGTTGCATATTTGTAGCCACAAATAATTGTGCAAGTATACAGTGACATATCTAGGATTCTTGAAAGGGTCGGTGGGGGTTAATGGGGGTGTGAAGGTGAAGTGGGGGGGGGTTCGATGATTTGGTGAGGGGGTGCCAGTTCACAAAATAACTTTTTTAAAACTACTTGAGCGTGATTTCTTTGGGTTGGGGCATGTGCCCCTCGCGCACCCCCTAGATACGCCACTGCATGTGTGTCTCCTTGTGAGACAAAGATGCCCTAATGCATATCTGTAGCAACAAACATTTGCTATCAATTTTCTGCAAGACTGACACCTTTGTGAGGCACAGATGCCCTGATGCATACCTGTAGCAGCAAACATTTGGTGCCACAGTTGCATGACACCTTGTGGGATACAGATATCCCAATGCATATCAGTAGCAACAAACATTGTCTGCCACACTCTGCAGGAGTGTCACCTTGTTGGATGCATACGCTTTGATGCATAGTTGTAGCAACAATCAGTGGCTACCAGAGCTGTGAAGCACCTTGTTAAGTTTAGATGTCCCAATGCATATCTGTTTCAACAATCAGAGACTACCTTGTGCACCACCTCACATTTGAGACACAGTTTTAGGTGATATCCACCATATTTTTTCTCATCACCAACTTTTTGTGATTTAAACCATCTTTAGTCAATAATTGATCTTTTACCAGTAAAACATATTTCTGTATTTTAATTACATATCTGTTAATTTAAAATGAGGATTCATTGGTGGTTCATTTGGTATTGCAGTCATTTACATTGTTTAAGATGCTTGGGAGTTTAGATGCTTAATGAACAAGTTGTTTGTGGTTTTAAGTGAAATCTGAAGTTGAAATCATCAAAAATTACAAAACATAACATTGATAATCTGTTTATTCTTCAGACATCAGCTGAGCTTGCTGCAAAAGAAACAGAAGATGAATTAGACAAGCAGAAAGACCCAGACAAGGATAAGGACAAAGGAGGCAAGAAAAAACCAGACAAGAAAAGAAGCAAAAGTAAGTCACCTTCAGATGCAAGGTCTAAGTCACCCAAGGGAAAGAAATCACCGAAGAAGGGCAAGAAAGCTGCCACGCCAACTCCACCACCTACTCCACCACCAAGTGAGTGTGTTTTTCACATTTTTTCATACTATTTCTGATGTCTGGTCAATGGTACTGGTACAGGCATTTATGATGCGCCTTTATCTTGAGGTTATAAAGCGCACTTCTTTTCCTTGGTCATTGAGTACACTTGCTGCTGCTGGTAATCAATGCAGGAGCAGGCAACCTCACCAGATATGGAGAGAAGCATGTGCCTTGCTCAAGGACACTTATAGCAAAATGTACAGCGAGGGATTGAAACCCTGACTTTGAGGTAGTTTGTATTATTAGCAATATCATTTCTCACTCATCAATGTTATCTTATTATTTCTTATTTTTTATTTCTTCACCATATTATCATTGTAGTCATCTTTATAATATTACCATTATCATTATCAACATCATCATCATTATTATCATTGTTATTACTTGATATATACAATTTTTTTTTCCAAATGTTTTTATATCTTATTAGTTTACCTAATTTAAAATGTATTTTTGTGGTTAAACAAACGATCCTTCAATCCTTGGTGTATTCAAAACTTATATTCATGTGGATGTTTATTTATTGTGTTTTTTATTTTAGCTGAAGACACACCAGAGGAAAAGGCAAAAAAAGAGTTGAAGGAGAGATTGAAACAAGAATATGTTGCAGCTATCAATCATGAAGGTACGATACTTGTCAAACAATCCCCCAGTCCATCAGAAATTTCTTTCATAACATTATTTGTTGTGTTAAAGAAGAAACTTATTTTTATATTCATGGCTTTTATTAAATAATGAATGATAATACATACTCCAAGTATTGAAATGCACGCCATCGTGTTGGGATTTAATAATTCGACGTAAATTATGTCATCATCAGGAATGATGACTTTCACTGGCATAGAAAAAAGACAGTGTACATAGTTGAAATATTCAAAGTAGTAGAGTAATAGTATTCATAAGAGCCATTGTTATTAACTGTTATCAGTGAAAATGGATTTATAAAATACAGCTGAGTGTAATTGCTGTCTCTTATACACATCTAAGCCTTTTCCTTGAGGTTATAAAGCGCACTTCTTTTCCTTGGTCATTGAGTCCACTTGCTGCTGCTGGTAATCAATGCAGGAGCAGGCAACCTCACCAGATACCCATTTATACTCCTGGGTGGAGAGAAGCCTTTTCCTTGAGGTTATAAAGTGCACTTCTTTTCCTTGGTCATTGAGTCCACTTGCTGCTGCTGGTAATCAATGCAGGAGCAGGCAACCTCACCAGATACCCATTTATACTCCTGGGTGGGAGAAGCCTTTTCCTTGAGGTTATAAAGCGCACTTCTTTTCCTTGATCATTGAGTCGATTTACTGCTGCTGGTAATCAATGCAGGAGCAGGCAACCCCACCAGATACCCATTTATACTCCTGGGTGGAGAGAAGCATGTGTTTTGCTCAAGGGCACTTATAGCAAAATGTACAGCGAGGGATTGAAACCCCGACTTTGAGGTAGTTTGTATTATTAGCAATATCATTTCTCACTTATCAATGTTATCTTATTATTTCTTATTTTTTATTTCTTCACCATATTATCATTGTAGTCATCTTTATAATATTACCATTATCATTATCAACATCATCATCATTATTATCATTGTTATTACTTGATATATACAATTTTTTTTTCCAAATGTTTTTATATCTTATTAGTTTACCTAATTTAAAATGTATTTTTGTGGTTAAACAAACGATCCTTCAATCCTTGGTGTATTCAAAACTTATATTCATGTGGATGTTTATTTATTGTGTTTTTTATTTTAGCTGAAGACACACCAGAGGAAAAGGCAAAGAAAGAGTTGAAGGAGAGATTGAAACAAGAATATGTTGCAGCTATCAATCATGAAGGTACGATACTTGTCAAACAATCCCCCAGTCCATCAGAAATTTCTTTCATAACATTATTTGTTGTGTTAAAGAAGAAACTTATTTTTATATTCATGGCTTTTATTAAATAATGAATGAAATGTTTGTAATAAAAAGTTAATTAAATGCCATTGCTTTGTTCTTGTTCTAGAGCATGGGTTGAAGACTCGTTTAGAACTGATAAAGTTGCATGCCATTGAGGTTCTCCAGGACTTGAAATCAAAGGGTGATTCTGCTTACAGTGACATGAATGACTGGCTTGGAGCCCGGTTCCTGACAGAGATGAAAAGGTAGATAGACTTGGGTATTAAGGATGTAAGGTGGGATAGGGAAGTTTACATAAGGTGCAGATTGTGTACTACAGTAGATATGTGATGCCAGCTGAAAAAGACCAGGGCTTTACAAGAGCCGAAAGCTAGATAGTTTTTCATAGCATCATAACTAAATATGGAGAGCAGATTAATGTGTTTTGACATACATATTAAAGTAGGGGTGGGGGAAGGTTAACTGGATATTGAGCTGAATTGAATTACTTTGGTGGGAGGATAGTGGCAGAAAATATACTGTAGATAGCGAAGGGGCAAAAAGGAAGACAAAACTTTCACATAAGAAAGTATAATACATACTCCAAGTATTGAAATGCACGCCATCGTGTTGGGATTTAATAATTCGACGTAAATTATGTCATCATCAGGAATGATGACTTTCACTGGCATAGAAAAAAGACAGTGTACATAGTTGAAATATTCAAAGTAGTAGAGTAATAGTATTCATAAGAGCCATTGTTATTAACTGTTATCAGTGAAAATGGATTTATAAAATACAGCTGAGTGTAATTGTTTCCTATATAGCATTGACATGATGTGTGATCTGTACCATAAGGCCATTGAAAAGAGAGAAAAGATACAGAAAGAATTGATTCTCTATCAGGATGACTTCTTGGTCAATATGGTAATTTATTTTAATTTGATTTTCACTCAACTAAATAGACATTTAATTCGAATTAATATGATGACTATTGTCCTACCTTCTATTTGGATATGTTTATGTTTGAGCTCCCCTCATATTATGAGGGGAGCTGTAGCTTGGTTATGGTGCTTGCCTTATAATGTGAGAGGAAGGGGTTCAAATCCTGCAAAAATCAGGATTTTTATCTCATGACTAAAACCATCCACGCTCCCTCATAAAAGTGACAGTGTAGTATCTGATCATTTCATCCAGCAATTAGACACATTCCCTCTCCTCTCCTATTTCTGCAGCTAAGCCAGCCCTCAGTGTCTTACAGTCATGCTTTTTCAAGCTACCAGTATTATGTCTTTTATTCTGTAGGCCAAACTGTCCAGGTTGATGTAACAATACACTTAACTCATACAAATTTGATTACAAATTGTTGATTGCAGGAAGTGAAAATTTTCCGCACCCCTAGCCCACCACCTAGGCCATCCCCAAGAGAACAGCCACTACCAGACGTGTTCAGTGTAGAAGAGATCAAGGTTCTGTTGGCACAGTTTCTTAAATCTGCCCCATCTGGATTTATCTCCAGCAAAGCTTTCATAGACACATTGTCGGACCTCACAGCACTCACTGTAAGCTTACTATTAATTATTCTGATTAATATGAGAGAATTGGTGATTATAATGATTTGACTGATGTGGTGATAACAATGACCATGATGGTGCCAGTGGTTTTAATGTTGGTGACAATGGCGGTGAAGATGGTAGCAAATGCAAAACTACTTCCATTGCCAATGAGGTTCTTGATGATCCTGTAGTTGATGATGTTGTTTTCTTGTTTTGTTGATATAGTGTTGCTGGTAATGATGCAGATGCTACTGAATAGTTTGAAAAATGAATGTGTTGATGATTATAATAACAGTATTTTTATGTTCAAAACATTTCACCAACTGATTATAAACAAATCTATTCTAAGATGGGTATTTTATTTCCTTACAGCATGGCATGGCAGCTTTACCTGATTACTGGATGGCATTAACACCTGTACAGGTGAGTTCATAGAAACTTTCCTTTCCAACATGTGATGCCTTCAGCAGTGATGGTAGTCATCATAAGCTAAACAACTCTAAGCCTTGTAGAGACACTTAAGAGGTTATGATATCAACTATCTTCTAGTCTTAGCTGGAGAGTCATCCCTTCTAAACATAGTTAAAATTAGAAGAAAATGCCTCCTGTTGCTTTTGTTTTTGTTTTATCGCATCTACACTATTCATCTCTGTATACATACACTGATTCATTCCACAATATATAATAAAATGTAATGCTGTGCATGCCCTTATATGGTTTTTGGAATAGTTAATGTTTGTATTTGTTTACTTTTGGCTGCAGCTTGAGCACCTAGCGAGCATCTTGTCACCAGACTCAGAGTACATTGATTGGAGAAACTTCCTGCTACAAACTGCTCAGCCATGGCCTTATCCTTCCCAGGCTCAGCTGCTAGAAACACTTCACAAGTACCATGCGGTGGATGTCGAAGGCACTGGAAGAATCACCAGACAACAGTTTGAAGAAGTGAGATCAATTGATGAATAAGAATGCAAATGTCTTAATAATGACCATTAATTTAATTGTAACCAAAGTGTTACTGTCAAATATAATTTAGTAGTAAATTTTGTGAATATTTGCCTACCTTACTAGATCTACAATAGTTGGAGAGGTAAATATTAAGGCTCAAGATCTTCTTAGTCATAAGCCAGATTAATTGTTATATTGTTGATACATAATGAAGGACATTTATTATATGTAGAATGGACATATTATCAAGTAAGTTGATAATTAGTAGGAAAGAGAGAGAAAACGATGCGAAAGAAGGCAGGATATTTGTGGGTGGGAGTAGTTTGACTCAATAGATAAGTGTATGAAGCAGTATATACTGTAATCTTGCAGTTCTTTGCACATGTATTAGTTTGTTCATCAAACTATATTATTTTCTACTTACTGTAGGTGGGATTGTGGTATGAGCCTGAACCTGTTAATAGTACCCCATCTAATGACTCCAGTGCACCCTTACCTTATGATAGAGTTGGCCACATCTTGACACTTATGTTTGATATCTTCTCTGACTCAAGCTCAGCGCCACCAACGGTGGACTACGTGAACATGGTGAGCAGATATCTTCTTTTTATTTCAATTTTAAACAACTGTTTTCATGGCCTGTTAACCTTTTACAAATTGACACTGTGATTGTTGAAGGGTCTATACTAAAGGAATGCATTATCCATATACTTATTAATTTGCAAGGGATTTCCTTTCAGCTTCTTTACTTTAGTGTGGCCCCTGATTATCAGAATGGATTCTTCCGTGCCCTGAGTGTTGCTGCAAACACTCACATGCCTCGACCTAAGAGTGATGAACTTGCAGCAGTAGAGTTAGATATGGTGAACCCACCAACAGTCAAAGAGGTTTGTACTAAAACAGTTTAATTATATTTATACACTAATACAAAGATGTCTAAATTGCATTTTGATTGATTAAAGAATAGACTACAAAATAACTACAATGGTTAAGTTACTGCACAATGCATTTTTAACTCCATTTGGTGTCTTTATGGAATGAAGTTTACAAGAAACTCCTGTTCCAGGAGGAACCTTAACCCTATTACAAGACAACGACTTACACTCGATTATGATGTATGTAGTTATGATACTTCTTCAATTCTTTTGAATAGATTGCAAAGCTGATGAGTCAGTCACGTGCAGGTGTGTATGTGGGGCCACCAGATGAAGACATTCCAGATACTGCCACTGATTCGCTGGTACCACTTGATGCTCTGGTTCAGGTCTGTACATAGTCCCTTGGTCTCAATTCCATACTTAGCCTGTAGTAGATTTATGTTGAAAAGTAAATAAAATTATTTATTTTATTTTTATTTTATTTCAATACCCAAACCAACAGCAAATGAGATTTGCCACTTACAGGAGGTTAAAGTTAAAGTTATGACAGTAGTTACAATGTCACATAACATTTATAATTATATACTTTTTTTATATATATATTTAACAAGGGTAAACCTAATCAATGTAAAACACTGCTCTTGAGCATGTAGCAAGCTAGGAATTTGGTAGAAGTTTTGAGTCTGTACAAAATAATAATTTTTGAAAGTAGGTGCATCGACCAATCTGAAATGAGGTGGGAAATCTGCTGCAGAGCACCAGGTTTTAGAACCTATGTATTTAGTTTGATTTATATAGCGCTTTATACCGAAGTCTTAAAACGTTTAATGTGGACTAGTTCGTACAATAACTTGCTTATCCCCTAAGGGTCTCTTCGTGTCTGAGCTACCCGGTAAACCGGTACCAGCTACTCTCGTCTGTCCACAGCAGGGGCTGTAAGGACCAGTAACTCCATACTTGCCTCGCAATATGTACTGAGTTCTTTATTGTACACGGCCTACAGTTTATAGTCCTTATCCGAGAAAACTTGTTCCACCTCCAGAATCGTAGGCGAGTGTGCGAACTCAGATGAGATGGGAAGTTCGCTCCAGAACACAAGGTTTCAAAACCTATAACCAATTGTTGTGTATACTGAATGTTTCTTCACATGCTTACAGGTTCTACACCATGGCCAGCCTTCGCTTGGGGATAGCCACAGATTCAGTGTGACCTCCGACCCAGAAGACACTTTCTCTAGAGAGCGTCTGGCGGGAGTGTACCAAGAACTTGGTAGTGAGGACTTGGAGCCTGTGTTGTTCTACACACTAATGGAGCATCCAATCATCCAGGACTGTCTCTCCATGTGCCATCGTTTTAAAACACCTGTAAGTGAATTTTTGAAGCTTTAAACTTTTAACTTTTTAACTGATTTTAGTTGTGAATAAAAATTTATTGTATTGTATTGAAGTAATTATGATTTTTTTTTCTGTTTTTGTGAATTTTTTCTGTTCCTAACAAAATGTGTAGAAAAGAAAGACAATAATTTTGCATACACACAATTAAATTTGTGAAAGTTTTGCTAGAATGTAGTAAGTGCCCCACACATATATTGAGCATCCTATACCAGGCCTTGGCTTACCCATGCAAATAATTAGTTGAATGGATTTTTACATAATAAGGTTGATTTGTGTATAATTTTCATTAAATCTTACTATTGCAATTGCTCTCATCTAGTTTAAAACCAATACAACTATTTATTTCCACAAAATTTAACCTTTTTTTCACTTGCTCATTCCCGGCAAAATTTCACTAAAAAAAGATTTCTTTAGAAAAAATGCATATGCATTACTCTAATTATTGTAAAGGGCGCAGTGAAATGGGTCTTGTTCCTTTCTGTGCTCTTTATTCTTAATAAATATATTTAGTTACACTATTAAAAGACATCAGTATTTGCACTATTTATTTAATCCAATCATATGATTTTCTACACAGGATATCAAGAGCATTTTGATGCTTGGCAACCCAGTTGTTCAGTTGAAAGACATAGACACCCAAAGTGTTATGTCCTAGAGGCACACACAGAGTATGATTAAATTAGTAAATATTCATTAAGTGTCAGGTTGAATATTCATGAGGTGGCATTGAATATGTATAGATATAGCTGATTATTAAATATTCATATATTGGTAATAATTCGATATTTGTTGTATTCATTAAGAATTAATTATCAATATGTTAATTAAATTTCACGCACATAAAAGTCATAATTTATAGAATTAATATGAGCCTTAACTGAAGTATTTGCTTTTGCTATGGACTTGTTTGCAATCTGTCAATGTACATTAGTCCAAATCCGTCCATAATTATTTTACAAAAATACTTAAGATTTATTTATGAAGACAATATTCATTATAGAAAATTTATATTTTAAATACATAGTTTAATTCATTGTTAATACTAAAAACTAATAATGTTAACATGGTTACTGCTGGCAAATTAATTTGTTATTCACAAGATTCGTGAATAAGATATGTTTTAATAAAGTTTGATTTTCCAACTGTAGCACCAACTTAAAGGTACTGCAGTTATTACCAATTTATTTTAAGGAGGAGGAATTTACATGTTCATATAATGACCCAGTATATATTTAGATAAATATATATAGGCCTAGTGCCTCCTGTACGTGACTTCCAAGTGAAAGAAATAAACTGTACTCTACTGCTAGCTAAAACTTGAATAGGCCTAATTATTGTTTTATAACTAAGATTATTTCCCATGTTTCTGATTTGCAGTGAAATAGATTAAAGTGTTTTAAATGAGAATTACACATTCTTTAACCTTTGTTAGGTACATGGTTATTGTTAATATCATTAAAGATACATTGAACTGTATTTGCATTGTGTGTTAAATAGTCATTGGCCAAGAACTTTACAATAGTTACATTCTTTTGCCTCAAGGCCTTTTATAATCTGTTATTTACAGAAATAAATACATATAATGGTAAAACCTTGTCTATTTAATGACCAATAAACATTATATTCTGGCTATTTTAATAGAAATTTGTAATACGAGGTCACGTATGGAACGCCATACGAATATTTTGTGTTAGTCTACATTACAGAATGGGAACTTGGCGTTCCATAACCATTAATGACACGTGTATGCACTACACACAAACACGTTTCTAATTGTTCATTATGAACCAGAAATATACTTCTGTATACCTTCTTCTATCTAAGGCTAACTTGGTTTAGTTTTAGATTTAAAAAAACATTTATTGACCTAGAGACGACATTACCCACTTATGAGTCGAGAGTAACTGGCAACTTCTTCATCTCAATACAGTATGACATCACCCACTTAAGAGAGACCTAGTGACACTAGCACCTTCATGAAATCGATGCATTATTCCAAATTGCAAAGTATCGCTCATAAATTGACGTCAAGATTCGGTTTGGTTCAGAATCCATCATGCTTAGTAAACAGCCTTATGATTAGCTGTAGACCAAAGCAGCACGCACCCTCACATCATAAGACACGCTTGCTGACCGACCCCTGTAAATTGACATACAAGTTAAAGTATTTAAAGAGATTTATAAACCACTTTTTGAGATTTATTAGACCAGAGAAGACACCATACGTGGGCAGACCTACCAGAAAGTGGAGACAAAGCATCGAATTAAAATATATGGAGAAGATTGAGAGTTAAAAACAAAACTATGGTGTATTGTGGCTTATGTGGTAGTGTGGTTAGAGAAAGATTCAAATTAACTTAGCAAGCAAATTAGATTAACTTGTTATTTTCATTATCAGTTTATACAAAAATTTCACAATTTAATTGCAAATAACATTTAAGCTCCCAGCGGCCTTGAATATTCAATCAAACTACCTCCTGAATATTCAATAATAAGCCTATATGAATGTTTTTTTTTAGATCTACCAAATTAGGCCACTTTAATAACACACGAAATGTTGAAGATATCAATTTGATTTATGTTTTTGGCTGATTAACAAATCAAGGGGGCCTAGTTTGTCTATTTTATGAACACTTACCTGGATTAACTACTAAATTTCTGATTTGTGCAATCTCAAGGTATTTATTCTTAAATCTACAAGTGTTCCAGTTCGATTGTTGAAAGCCATAGCCATTGAGTCGTTAACTGTTTATTGCCTCAATCGTAGAAAATGCTCTCATTCTGTATCAATACGGCCAACTGCTATAGACCTAATAATTTAAGTATTCGACTTAAATTGTAAGCCACTGTGACAATAACAGAACCTAACACAGGCTTGGCCAGATTAATATAAGGGCTTTTGGGCCGGGAAAAATAGGCCCCTGAACCCCAGGAAAAATCACCGAAAATCTGGTTTTATGTTTTAGCCATAGTATTTAGGCCCACAATTACAGCCCCAGACCCCACAGCCCAGAACACAGGTGTGTCCACACCCCTCCTAGCAAACAACATAGGTCTGCTTGATAAAACATTACATAAATGGAGAGTATATAAATTTCCTTTCCCAGCCCCGCCCGTTCAATTATTATGGCTGAGGTTCCACAAGAAGCGTAAACGTACGTAAACACGTGCGTTTGGTACACGTACACGTGTGTTTGTGGAACGAGCGCATAAGCTTACCGATGTTCTGATTGGTCAGTTGTTAAATTTGATTGATACTCTGGAGAGATCCATTCTTACTGAATGTGCGCCGTTGTTAGGTAACACATGGTAACCTGAAGGACAGTCCGTTAAGTCCACAAACATTAGGTATTGCTACAGGCAATACCTAAATCATTTTTACCATGAACAATACATACATGTTTTGATTGAACTTCACACTTATGTCTGCTATTCTACTCCCCACTGTGGGAAGTAAGGACAAGGCAAAGCATTGACAATCAAAAGAACAAACAATAAGCAGTGTTAAATAAAATCAAGCCGATGTCAATAAGTAATGCACGGATTTATGGCAGCTTTTGTAAAGGACAGTTTTGATTCTTTTGGTCAAAGTGTTGGACTAATAGTGGAACGTATCGTCTCTTAACTCAACCCAAGATTTGACTGTCCTGTTTTTCTAAACGTACGTTTTTTGTTTATCACGAATTCTGACGGCACGTAGGCGCGCCTACGAGAAAATTGTGATTAATCGAATTAAACAGAGTTAATAGATTTTTATTTTTATTTCTGTGAACACTAACATTTTGTGGAATGGAAGCGAATTTAAAAACAAGAAGAAATAGTTTAAATCTCCCAGCACTCATTAGGTCTGGATCAAGCATCCCAAACATATCCCAACGTAGGTACTCGTTGGGAGGAGTGAGCTCAGATGCCAGACGATTTTCACTCCGCTCAAGAGGGAAACTAAATGCTGATGTCAAACAGCTACTAAATCCAACAGAGAACTCCTATCAGTTGGCACCAACAGATGATAGGAAGTTCAACGTTACTAGAGTGGAAGAATTATTAAAACAAATTTTGGAGATGAAACTAAAAGGCCAAACGTATGACCCACAGACAGCTTCCGTGATTACTACGTCTTTGACAGAATATATTCGAGACAAGGTGAAGCTTCTTGGTTACAAACGACACAAATTGGTTGTTTATATTCTGTTAAGTCCTGATATAGGACAGAGTTTGGAAATAGTGAGCCGCTGCTTATGGGATGACAACTACGATAGATTTGCTTCGGCCTGTTACCATGGAAATGGGATATGCGCCGTTGCTATGACGTTTGGTTTATACTATGAGTAATTGAGAATTAAAGAGACAGGCAAAGCTTTTATCTAGAAACACCGTACCAGGTTGAACAACCACCCAGTTACATTTCCCCATGCTTGTCTAGTCTGACCAGGGAGATGTAAAAATAAGTCTGACATCACTGCGCGTCTTATTCACTCGGACGGACGGAGACGCGACGGCGATTTGACGGAAGCGATTAATGAAAATAAATAACCTGGATTCTAATTCAGATTCTCATCAACGCCGACGGTTTATCATCGGGATGAGGGCAGGAGCTGTGAGATGGACCAGTACACCGGGGTAACCCCCTACTCGTCTCGAAAGATATACTGGTTCTTCATAATGCACTTGAGCCCATTCATTTTATGTGTCCCGTCTCGGTCCAATCTCCGAAATTCGCATTCGTTACCGGTACTTTCAAATTTTTGTTGGGATATGAAGACTCGGCACGGTTGTTGGTGGCGAATCAAGAGATTGAGATTCAAAGCTTCAATTTAGGCCTACTTTTGGCCTCTTTTTATTGATGTGTATCTCCATACCGATAATATCATGCACTTAGCTTTTATTCTACTTCGATGTTGATTGGGGATTTTTGTTTTTCTATCCAAATTTAAGTATTTTGATGAGGTTACTCTATTGTTTTGCTATTTTTAGTTTTGCTACTATTTGTACAGACGTTTTTTTTAGCAGACTCGAGTACATTGTAAAACCCACTAAGCAGGCCTACAATTAAAGCAATTAGCGTGCAACAGTACTTTTATTTAGACTGAATAAAACGTTGTTTTTGACGGCTCCCTGGTTTTTTCTGCAGGTACCGGTAAACAATATAGATCCCCTAGACCTACCTTGATATTAATATTGTCATTTAGGCAAGGCTTAGACTTACGATAAGTAATGAAATGTTGTGTGTTTCTGCCTCTGTGTTGTGGAGGCATCAATGCATCCTGGAAGATAGGCCTCCATGGATTACGCCCGGAAGTTTAAGTCTTTGCTAAGATGTTTAAGCTGCAGCAAGAGCCAAGCCAACTCACATAAATCTGATACGTACTATTGTACTTTGCGTTCTTGTTCCCATACCAATTTCATGCACTTTGCTATGTTTGTGAAGTTTTGAAATAGAATGAATGAATGAATGTCAAGTAGCACTAAAGGTTAACAAATAGAGGCACAAAAATTCATCAAATCATGCCCTTGAATAAAAATTTCAAGATCATTCCCGAAAAGAGTTTTGCGAGGGAAAACAATTGCATGTGAGTCGCCCCCACATTGCAGGCCTGGCCTACTTGCTAAAAATCAATATCCTAATACAGGCCTTAAATATAATACACTTTTTTTTTATAACACATCTAAAAGAACAATGAAGCTGAAATTTCTTTAAGAAAACAAAATAGGAACAAATTGAGGCTTCGGTAAAACATCAAATGAGGTTTTTATTTTTATAAGATTAGAAAACCAATTAAAATAAAACAGTAAATTCTTTGGCACATTTTGTGGAGTAGGTGTGACTACTGTATATGATATTGCACCCAGCACGGTAATAATAATATACTGATGTACAATAATAACATTCTATCTTTGAATACCGTACACCTTTTTTTTTATAAGAACCAGTAAGTAAAATTGTAAAATAAGAACAAAATAACATTTTGAGTCTGAATTTGTGAAAAAATAAGAACCATGAGCCTGGGCAAAATTTTACTGGTTCTTTTAAAAAAGAAAACGTGTACAGCTGTACAAGGTTTTGCACGAAAAATATTTAATTGAGCAGGGGCGTCACAAGAAATGATTAAGGGTAGTGTATGATGAGTGTGGGTGAAAAGTCGGAGATTATTTTGCATAAAGGGCCCCGATAGAGTATCTTCATTCTATGAAATATGGGGAAAAGAATGCTATTAAGGGTTCCTAGTCACACATGAAAGTGCTATTGTTTATTTGTAGGCTACAAAAATGTCAACCTTTAATCTTCATCGTGGTAGAAATACTCTCATTAGCGCTTTAAAGTGAAGAGGTCCCCATTAAATGGTTACGATGCCGACCATCACAAACATTGAATAAATGCAATTACGCAGGTGATAAATTAAGGTGTTGTTATGTAGAAACTCATTTTAGACCTTTAATTCTACTCTACGCTGGTGTACATGGATGGTCACTGGAAAGGAATGATGTTCTCTCTGGACAGTATCTTCATCACTTTAATGCCTCAATTAAGTTAAATTGGACACTAAAACCCTATCACTTATCTGTTTAAACATTTAATGTAAGTTTCTTAACTTCTTACTTAAAATTCGTAAGTTGTGACTCACCAACCACAGGTTCATAGTTAACTGAATCTTAAACCTAGATAACAAAGGCATAAATAGGGATTTTTTCGCAAGCTTACGAAAACGATAACGAATACGGTTACGTCATCAAATTTTAGACAAACCCTTCCCCTGCAGTACGGTAGCATATCTCTCACAACGTCGGCAATTCCTGCCTTTTGCATGAGTCAAGGATCATATGCAGCTCATACAGCATATTGCTGAGAATATTTTAGCCACGAATGACGATAATGATAATGACGTATTCGTATTTGTTATCGTTTTCGTAAGGTTGAAAATCTACCTAATTATCACAATATACCGACTATAATACCTGATAGAGGACTACTACTGTACTGTAGGCCGAGTATATTTTAAGAAGATGTTTTTCATTTTTATATTAAATGTTTTTATATATTTTACAGTACCGTTTTGGTGTGATATCCTTTATAGCGCCATCTATGGCCCTTAGCATCAGGACAGTGAACTCTAGTAAAGTTACCTGAAAACGATTAGGGAAGCATTTAGGTACTCCACCGTGTAAACTAATATTAGTTATGATAACAAATTCGGTGGTGAATTGAATGAAAATCTACTCGTCTCGATGACATTTCGATTTAGTTTGCTTTAATCGTCATCTCATCAGGAATGCGACGGAAGTAGGCCTACGGTCAGTCCCAGTTTGCTGTCCGCGTTTTTTGAGTCAAATTTTATCGTTGATTAGTAACCCTATATTTTGTAACCTATGACTGGCTACAGCAGTGTCATCTACAAAGTCAGTCCAACAATACAACGAACTGATTAATCAATCAATCAATCCATCAATCAGTCAACAAACATTTAAAAAACATGAATCATCGAACTTTCAATTCTAAGGAGCTCCTCTGCATTATCACTTTCCAAGTCATTCAAAGAGATAACTAAAGTACTCAACATTAAGAAAGGATGACTCACTAACGTATCGGGCGTGATAAATACACGTTTTGCAGTGGTGGTAGGCTATATTTTCGAAAATATGGCTTACGATACAAAGGCCATACGCTTAATAAGCCCTCGATATTGTTTTGCTTTAGATCAACCGAACATAAACCTTGATTTCTTTCTTACTGTGCGTGTTAATACCAAAGAAAGTTTATAAACTTACAATTGATAATGATATGTTTTATAGTTTTATTAACAATCTTTATAGTTTTATTAGCAATATATAAACGATGCGACGAAATTTGTTACAAACCAAATGCTTTTCCACCACACTTAATGCGTTACATATTTATAACGCATTCAGTTATGACACTGCAAATGTTTTGCCACCACCTCACGTAATGCGTTACACATATCTGTAACGCAGTCCATTCACACTGCAAATGGTTTATCATTGCACGTAATGCGCTACATACGCCTACTTGTAACGCAATTCGTTATCACCCTACAAATACTTTGCGACCTCAGTATGTAATGCGTTACATACATGTAATGCGTTACCAAACATCCCCCCTGAGTAAAGCTTACATAGAACCAAACCCATTCAAACTGAGCTAACTTAACTAATGCAATAGAAAAATAGAAGCAGTAGAAAAATAAGAAAACAAACAAAACAATAAACAAATACGATCGACGAAGCACACTCGTATTGTAGTTGTTTATAAATATTTGATGAGTATAGGCCTATGTAGCCTGACTTATTTGTTTAAAATGCGCATTTAATCTTTCAGCCGAATCACATATATTAAGCTCAGTTTCTATCATTTACCTGTTTGTTTATATTTATAATATTTTATATATAACGCCTGCTATGAGGTATATATAGGCCTACAAAGCATAGGTCCACGGGTGTTCTTGAGATATGTGAATCAATAGAAAAAAAAACGATGAGATAAAAAGATAAATACTTAGCAGACTGAGAACACAAGTAACTTTATTGCACAAGTTGACTTATTTATCTAATTTGATTGGTTGAAAATTATTAGGACCTTTATGTAGGGCCTATTAAAATATATCGATATTCGTAGCAGGGTACTACTACTCATATCTACCTAAATTGTTGCAGAGAAAGGCAATCATCATTCTTAATCACGTGACTTGATCGAAGTTCCGATCGTTAAACCTGGTCGCTTGTCACTGATAATATCCCCGGACGCAAGTAGAGAAGATACGGAAGACAATCAGCCCGTACGTAACTCGTTGTACCAACACCACTGTCTTCGGAAGTTGCATATACATTCATATATTTATGTAGTGCAGATTTGCGGTATGTGTATTGTTTTACGTTGTCAATGTGTAGTCCTTCTAGGCGCGTGACTAATGCAATCTGCTATCTAAAAATCGTGATATTCGTAACTCCAACAAATCTGCTGAGGAATATTTTCTCATAAAATATTGTCAGTTCCCGAGAGGAAGTGTCAGTATTTATCGCTTCTACAGTATTTCTCATTCTTAAGAATGCACCGAATAGAGGCAAGCACAGTTATATGAAATGCTCTTCGACGAACAGTTCAGATTCGTTGGTTTTTTTCAAGCGGGTGCATGAGGAAGAATTCATCTAATGAGATGATGCTGATAAGGAACGTACTTTAAAAAAGCGTAATGTAAGAAAAAGCCATAACTTGACATTTCATCTTCAATCAAATATTGCATACACCTTTACGGGAGTACTTGGCTTCTATGCTGGAATCTAGGCTGACTGTATAAGGATGGTGTCGTCCCTCGTACATTGCAAGGTCGTAACAAACTTGTTTATTTTCTGAACCAACAGCGTGCAATTTTAGAATTCAGCCAACTTCACCACCTAAGTTGATTTAAACAGCTGTTTTAAAATTATTTTACAAACATTAATTGATATAACGATTTGTCCGAAAATGCTGCAGTGTTCGAAATTTTTGTTTCGTTGCCCATTTTTCTCTGTCGTCAGTTGTATCGTTACATTAGTGCTGATACCTACGAAAGCAGGACCACTTAAAAGTTTGCAAACTGTGCCGCCTGATGAAAACAACACAGGGAGACAGGCTCATCTCTCTCAAAATGACCAATCGAGACGTAACAGCCTAGCAATTGAGCCACAATATAGTTTTGATCCCGAGTACGATGACAATAGTAATGTTGGAAACTTAAAAGATCAACTCAACATGGACATCACTTCAACGATACTACTCAGAGATCTGTATAATACAACTTATGCAAATATACCCGGCGCAAAAAAAGTGGATATGTTGGGAGCAATGTTGAAGACTAGAATCGATCGGTTACGAAATGTTGAAAATAGTCAACTGGAATTGGTATTTTTGGTGGACAGTTCAGCAAGTGTTGGGAAAACAAACTTCTTTAACGAATTAAAATTTGTTAAAAAGGTTCTCGCTGATTTTGTTGTTTCCTACTGGTCCACCCGAGTTGCTGTTATTACGTTTGCATCTAGAACTCGTGTTTTGAATGTCACGGATCAAATCAGTTTTCCAACCATAGAACATCATAAATGTTCTTTGTTTACTGAAGAACTGCCAAATATAACTTATGTTGGCGGAGGAACTTACACAAAAGGAGCTTTTGAAAACGCATATGTAAGTATTTTATATTAGCCTATCTGATTTAACTGTAAATTTGGTCGGAGTCATAACTAAACACCCTCGATTCACTTTAATACTCTCCTATCTATTGACGGAAAGTCTAGTTGTGAATTTCTTGACAACTGATAATCCCATACGTGTAGCGCCACATCCTCTAAAAACAAAACATCCTCTCTGGGAAATAATATAGAACTACTCATCATTGTACTCAATATACTACAACAAACAGCAACTCCGACTACTATACTACTGCTTCAGGTGCTGCTGCTGCTGCTACTATAAGAACCAGTAAAATTTTGCCCAGCTCAGTGCTATTTTTTTGGCTAATTTCAGGCTCAGAATGTACTTCTGTTACACACTTTTCAAAGATAGAATTTTTTTTTTATTACTGTACTGTTATTATAGATGTTATTTCATAGTCACACCTACTGCTACTGTATATGATTATCTTGTTTTTATTGGATTTTCTATTTTTTTAAAACTAAAAACTAAATAATTTTACCACATTTTTTGAGCAATTTCAGCCTCAGTATTCTTATAACATGTGTTTAAATAAAGGAGTACTGCTACTGCTGCTACTACTACGCTGCTGCTACTACTACTACTACTACTACTACTACTACTACTACTACACTACTTCTACTAGTTTAGTTTTGTTACCTTTTATATATATATATCCGCACATTTAACACATTAGGCCTATACAAATGTAACAAGGTAAAATGAGAATTAAGTACAATCTGCGTAGAGGCTTATATATGTTCACTAACTACAGAACACTTAAATTGAGCCCCAGTTAGTAGGCCTAATTGATTAAATAAACAGTTAAATAATTATGTAATAGGCCTAAAAAGCTTAAAATGTTGTTGGTTGGTTGGTTGGTTTTATTTTTATACCCACAAAAACCTGAAGACTTATTTTTACTGATGTTGTTAATTAGGCAGTAAGAAAGATAATCTCTTAGTCTTCTCCTAGAGTGTACTGTCTTCCACGTGAGACCAACGTCTCAAAATGTCTGATCCGAAAGACTGTGCGTTCGTGCGCGTTTAAAAGCTCTCAGCTGAAGTACAAGGAGGGGAGCAGATGGAATTCAACCGGAGGCCAAGGTTTGGGGTCGGAATATAAAATGGGGTAGTGGCTGAAATTTTTATATGGGAGATGAAATAGTAGTGAATGTTCGAAAACATGCTTTATTATGTTGGTAGTTTAGCAAATAAAGAGGTAATGTAAAAAGACAACATGCATTTTTGTGTAAACGAAACATAAATATAATTTGGTTAAATTGGTGAAATTCATGAAAAAAGGGTAAGGGGTTTCGTGTTGGATATAGGCCAAGAAGAAAGGTATAATTTAATGTTTGTTATCTAGAAATTATTCCTAGATATAATATTACTGATTTGGTACTGTTTACAGTTGAACAATGGCATTTAAAAATTGTTCGACTTACATATCGTTAATTAATGGAAAACACAACAATTTGGCATGTAAAATAAGATCGATCGACTTAAAAAAATTATTCAAGTTAGACAAAGTCGACTTAGTCAAATTTTAAATGAAATCGATAGATACAACAGCTAAATGTATTTTTGCTGACACGCATTGAGTATATTGTATGGAAGTGTCAGACCAAATAGGCCTATGATATATAGCTTCTTGTCAATGTTAAGGAATATACCTAAGTTGAGCTTAACCAGGTACCAATGACGTAGCCAGCAATTGGGACAGTCCCACACAATTTTTCTATTGGGTCCACATCATTTATACAAAGAAAGGGTTCACATTTCAAAAAATTAGTCTAAAATATATTATTTCATATACAAAATTGGTCTACTTTTTAAAAAATGGGTCCAGAGTTCTAATATTTATGCGTAAATTGGGTCCACTTCATGGAAATGGTCCACATTATTGAATTTACACGTAGAATGGGTCCACCCTGATATTGTCCGGCACTGTTTGAAAATCCTGGCTACGGCATTGCAAGGTCCAGCAAACACAAAACGTTTTTATAACAATTGCGAACGTTGTGGTTTGGTATGTCACAAAATAACGTTCACACAACGTTGCAGGAAAATTCAAACGTTGTGAAATTAGGTTATAAATACTTACTTATGGTTCTACAAAATAACATTTTTAACACCTAACTATAACGTTCTTATAAAATAATTTTGTTAGCTAGGTAGAAACGTTCAAGCTCAGTGTTATAATCTTGATCAATATGTGTTATTGTTATGAGAATAGAACATATTTGAGTCATCTGAAGAAAAAAAAAAATATTTTAAGGTAAGAGCAGAAGAGGACCTAGCAATAACTAGAGACATTTTGGAGTTGAAAATCATATCAGTGTTGAATCTTGACGAATGTTATTTTGGAGTTAACTGAGTTAATGTATGTAAATTGCTGTCTATTTGAAAGGTCGTTTGACTAAAAAAAGGTTTTTTATGAATTTGCCAATAAAGTGTGTATTTAGTAGGGAAAGATTATTCTTGATAAGAAATCACACAATCTGTTCTAAATTACACATTTGAGGAGCTTAAAAACCTGATAATAACGAGGTAGGTCTTGGGTTTTCTATTTTGCTAATTTATTGAATTGGTGTCTTTTTTTAACAATTGAATTCTTGTGGAATTGGCTTCTTCGTTGAAATTACCACTAGTAACAATTGACTACTCTAAGTAATTTACCATAAGCCTACCGTATGAAATTAAGACGTTTGATCATAATATAGGCCTAGCTGAATTTAATACACATTGTAATTCATCAATCAATTAATGTAATTAATTATTATGTAGAATTTATAGATCAGCTTATGTAATTGACCACTCTAATTTTAATTGAACAGTCTTGAACTATATATGTATTCTTGACCATTCTATACATCTGTACTTAATGTAATAATTACCCTATATTATTTTGTAAAAATTAATTTCGAAAACATTAATGTCATTAATAATTATAACAAAATAATAGCCCTAAATAATATTAAATGGTGTTGATGATAATGATGATGATGATGATAATAATAATAATAATAATAAAAATAATAATAGTAATAATAACTATAATAATAGAGATAATAATATAAATGTTCATAGTTGATGTTGAGGAATTTATTTTTTTAGAAATATGATGCGTAGGCATGAACTACCGGTATATAATATGTGTATTTGTTATCATTCTATACAGCTATACTTAATGTAATACATTACCCTATTATTATTTTGTAAAAATAATTTCGTAAACATTAATGTCATTAATAATAATGAAATGACATAATAAATAATAATAAATTATAATAAAAATAATAATATAAATATTCATACGTATCTTATGGAGTATAATGTTGATGTTGAGAAATTCATTTTTTGTATAAATATTATGATGCGTAGGCATGAGCTATGATTCTATTACACCACGCCTTCGAATCTATCGCGTGATGAAATGTCCTCAGTACATTTTAGCACTTGGGATTATAAAAATCACACCATACAGATCACACCATCTCAAGCAACCTGTTTATTGACGTCTAATATTGATCAAACCATATTTCATTTGGTTAATAAAACATTTTAAAGACCGGATGCGGTTTGGTACTATTCTTAGTATTTGGATTGGATACACGTTTTACTTAATCAATAAAAAAAAAGCATTAAGGCCGGTTTATACTTTAACGATAACGATAACGATAAAAAAGCTAAAAAGCGATTGATCATATAGAAAACAAAAGTTTTTACACTAGGACGATTCGATAACGATTTATCGTGTATACGATAACAGAATATTTTAACAAATTAAATCAGATGACATCATAATCATGGAAAACGATAAAATCATTGCTACTACTACGATTTTAATGTTTTTCCATGATTATAACGTCATCTGATTTGATTTGTCAAAATAGGCCTATGTTGTTATCGCATAACTGATAAATCGTTATTGAATCGTTCTAGTGTAAAAACTTCTCTTATTTCTTTTATTTTCTATATGAACAATTGCTTTTCAGCTTTTTTTTTTATCATTTCGTTATCGTTGAAGTATAAACAGGCCTTTATACGCACATTCGTTTAACATAAAATTTACTTGAGTAAACCAAGTTTGCCGTTAACATACTCACGTTTTTGTTTACTAAAACCATTAGACGGTACCATGCAATATATTACAAAACCAGATGAAAGTAATTAAAGTCATTTATGAAATTTACTATAATGCACTCATTAAACATCTTCACGTGATCTGAAAGTAATTAGTTGTATCATAGAGCATAGAGTTTCTTTGTTGTATGGTTGTATCAATGATTCTATAGCTGTTTACACGAGCGTCATGCGCTGGCTGAGAGCCAGCGCGTAACCTCCCTTTGAAACTGCACGCACAAAAACTAGGTGTGAACATAAAGGATTGGTATTTTAATTGTCAGGTTAACTATCATTTACGCCCTAGGTAAATGATAGGCTAGGGATTTATGTCTAGTCGTTCTAACATGTTAACTTTATGAACTTTTGGCACAATTTAACCATAGTTTAACAGCCAATAATGTTTCTATTTTACGATTTATTACTTTGTCGGGACAGCGGCTCAAAGTCTGCTTTATACTACTATTCCCATATGTAAGTTGTTGATTTGGAATGTTTCCAAGTTTCATTCATTTTTTAATGGCAAATTGATTCCTTGAAGCCCTATAGGGTACATGTTATATACACATATGTACATTCCGCGCAATACTTAGGGCCTATGGAGAATAGCCTCCAATGCATTCATGTGTAATTCTAAAATTGCATTTGTAAATTCGTGTCCGAGAACGTGATTGAAGTGGGACGATCATAGTATTTTGGTCAAGGTTTATAATGCAAAATGGGATAGGCGCCTTGAGATAAAAAAGATATAACATTGGTAGTTTCCGGTTCCGAGTAAGCGACGAATTTGTACGTGATTGGCGATTTTAGATTTTTAGAACATTATAAAATGTCTAGAATTGTAAAATTATTTATTCCCACGAGCTA